AGATTGCGCTCTCTCTCTCTCTCTCTCTCTCTCTCTCTCTCTCTCATGTGCTTTTAAAAAAAAAAAAAAAGGCCTCAATTGACAGCGGATCAGATATGAAACTGAACGGAGCAGATACTACATGTGATCTCTCTCTCTCTCTCATGTGCTTTTTTTTATTAAATAAAAAGGCCTCAACGGACAGCGGATCAGATATGAAACTGAATGGAGCAGATACTACACGTGATCATGTAGGAGCAGGATCCGATATGATACTGATCAAAGCAGATACTACACTTGATTGTGTGGGGGCAAGGGGGGGTAGGCCTATACTCAGTAGATTGGGTTCTCTCTCTCTCTCTCTCTCTCTCTCTCTCTCTCTCTCTCTCTCTCACACACACACACACACACACACACACACACACACATACACACACCCCTGCGCATGCCTTTTTTTTAAGTCTCCATGGACCACGGATCAGATATGAAACTTGATCGGAGCACATACTACACTCGATCGTGGGGGCGGCACACACACACACACACATACACACACACACACACACACACACACACACACACACACACACACACACACCTGCGCATGCCTTTTTTTTAAGTCTCCATGGACCACAGATCAGATATGAAACTTGATCGGAGCACATACTACACTTGATCGTGGGGGCGGGTGGATCTATCTCTCTCTCTCTCGCTCTCGCTCTCTCTCCCCCCCTCTCTCTCTCCTTTTTCCACCTATTAAGAGACTTTGAAAGTGGTTCCTCGCCCCCTAACCCCCACCTATCACCTGACTCACCATCCTCCCCCTTCCACTCCAACTGCCCTCTCCAGCATCACATCCTTGCCCTCTTAACGAATTCTTCACCCCTTCTCTTGCTGGTCTTTTCCTGCCATAGCCCCTTCACCCTACTCCTCCCCTACTATTACCCATGTTTTGTATTTTACCACCTCGCACTCAGCCTCCATCTTTTCTTATCTTGCGACCCTATTTTCTCCACTCCACCCTCCACCTCCACCTTCTGTACTGTTCTGAAACGGCTCTCTCTCTCTCTCTCTCGCTCTCGCTTGCGCGCGCGCGGGGGGGGCGCACACAGGCGCACACACCCCGTCATTGAGACCAAATTCAGTCGCAAAAGTCGTTAGGGAAAGAATGGAAAAAGAAAGGGACACATTTCGTAGATCGGGCATTCAGAGAGGCAGGAGGGAGGACGGACGAAAGAGAAGACGGGACGAAGTAGGCAGGAGGGATGAAGAAGGGAAAAACAAAACTAAACGCATATCTTGCGGGGAAGGGACGAAGGAGGGAGAAGGGATGGAGGGAGGTCGAACCAAGGAGGGCTCGACGGACAAAGGAGGGGGTGCTGAGGAGGAGCGGAGGGGAATGGAGGCGACGGAATGGGTTTCACGGAGGAGCCGAAGGGGGGCAGAATGGCACCCGGAAACTCTCTCTCTCTCTCTGTCTCTCTCGGGGGCGCACACAGGCGCACACACCCCATCATTGAGACCAAATTCAGCGGCAAAAGTCATTAGGGAAAGAATGGAAAAAGAAAGGGACAGACACTTCGTAGATCGGGCGTTCAGAGAGGCAGGCGGGAGGAGGGACGAAAGAGAAGATGGGACGAAGTAGGCAGGAGGGATGAAGAAGGAAAAAACAAAACTAAACGCATTTCATGCAGGGAAGGGACGAAGGAGGGAGAAGGGATGGAGGGAGGTCGAACCAAGGAGGCCTCGACGGACAAAGGACGGGATGCTGAGGAGGAGCGCAGGGGAATGGAGGCGACAGAGGTTTAGCGGAGGAGCCGAAGTGGGGCAGAATGGCACCCGGAAACTCTCTCTCTCTCTCTCTCTCTCTCTCTCTCTCTCTCTCTCAGCATGCACACTGGAAACTCTTTTTCTCAGTGGTGGTGGGAAAGGACCCCACGTGCGCCCAACGTTTTCTTCTTTTTCAACGGCGGCCGTTAAAACTAACTCCCCCGCCCCCCTCTCTCTGTGTGTGTGCGTGTGTCTGTGCGCACGCCAGAAACTCGATCGTTTTCACTGCGATAAGAGTAACTCTCTCTCTCTCTCACACACACACACACACACACACACACACACACACACACACACACACACACACACGCACGCACACAGATCCGAAAACAGGACGGAGGCTGCATGGGCAGAGGAGAGTCGAGGTGGCAACCGGTCAGGGCGGCTGAGTAAGAGCGGAGGGGAGAAAGGGAGGCACTGTAGCGGAGTAGGGTTGCGGAGGAGCGGAGGGGGAACGGTGGAGAAGGGGGGGGGGTTGAGGAGTCGGGTGGCATAGGAGCAGCGGAGGGCGAACGAAGACAAACTCATCAGGAGGTTTCATCCCCGACAGTCTGCCCAGGATGCATTTGACTGATGGATAAGGAATCGCCAGGCCACCGAGAGTGTGTTGTCATATTCGCTATACAGTCAAAGAATAGCACGACTGTGCCAGACTGTTTCGTCGGACTTTCACCGACTCATCAGGAGGTTGAACCCCGACAGTCTGCCCAGAGTGGAAGGGAGATGCAGAGAGCAAGAGAGAGAGTTGGGCCCCGCACCGCAAGGTCCACAACAGCAAGCAAGGCATACACAACACAGCGCGAGGCAATCGCCAGCACATACTACAGCAAACAACATGGACGCATAGGCACAAAACTCAACAAAATATGGCGCGATGCACTTGCAACAGACAAAGGCGAAGTGAGGTACCCAAAGTTGCCTGCAAACTGGGCCGTCCGACCGTTCGCCCCGAGGTACCAGGCCACGGGGGACGTGCAGTATTTTGATCTTAAGTGGCGTCGATCCAGGCCGTCGATCCGGCAGGACATGACGGCCTGGATTCAAGTGTGATGTTAAGATCTTAACACCGTGTCGATCCAAGCCGTCGGGCCGGCAGGACCTGACGGTGCAGATGTCTGATTTGCTACATGGTTCGATCGATCTGGGCCGTAGGCCGGTAGGACGTACGACGGGCCGGATTTCGGATTTGTCACGTTCGCAATTTTAATAGTGTAGGGAATTTGAATTATTAACTTAGATTACTGTTAATTTATATTATTATACTGTTATAACATGTTGGAAACCACTCCCTTGATCCTCAGGCGAGTGGATAACCCTTTAGCATGTACAGTAAAGTAATGGCCACTTTTAGTATGTACAGTAATGGCCAGATTCACTCTGGTTCTTGTAGTTTATGCTCTATATAGAGTATGACATAGCGTGTCGTTGTGAAATTTCAAAGTATCGGAGTCAATTGCTCCATGTACAGAACACAACTAGCAATCTATTGAAGCCATCGAGCTTGGGCAATAAATAGGAAGGAGGTGCATGAGCAGTTAAAGGGGTTGCAGTACAGAGAGGAGCCCATAGAGGAAGTGGCAGCCTGCCTGTCTAGCATTTACTCACACACATGTCCTCCCATGCCAGGCAATCCGTCACAAGCACGAAATACAAAAGGGAGAACCTGCGTCTAGCGAACATAAATTTTTTTCCTAAAAAGAAAAAAAAAAATCGGTTTTTTATTCTTAACTCATGATTGGTTACGAATTTGAACATGACTCCAAGGCAAAAGTTGCTTGTATTATTATTTTACATAACATTATTAACATATATTTTTTCCAGACTTTTCTGAGATTTTTTATTATTATTATTATGTTCGCGTTCGGAGGCTTTTGAGTGCTTGTTCGCGTTCGGGCAAACATGTTCGCGTTCGCCTCCGAACCCGAACACGGTGCTACGTAGGGGAGAACTATGCAATGTTCCTGAGAAACACTCCGCAAGAACAAGCGGCCACTCTACCAAACAAACCCTTAGCTCCAGCATATCACATGCCCCAATTATTCGGCTCTTTAGCCCCGCAATACGGCCACCGTTGACACAAACCCAAGGCCTAGCCCTGGTGCACCAAGTACCCAAAATTCTTTGTAGGCACAGGCAAAGGAAGCAATCCCTGAAGCCCTTCCAGTGAAGGTCATACAATCTGGAACAGATGGCACACCCAACGTTTATACCTGCGGTATTTTCCCCACAAAACGGGAGCACATCATGATTGCTGCTTGCTATGACGTTAATTTCACCTCTGGGCCAACACCAACCCTAAACAATAGACCTCGTGATCTTCCCAAAGTTGGGCGCAGGTCTGCCATGGCACTAACCAAATTGAATTCAAAATTTCAAATCCATGGCAATTACAGCATTAAGGTCACATCACAACTGGAACTCTGACCTGTTTCGAGCAACGAAAACAAACAATATATGATGGCCACAATTGGACGGGCCACATTGACCTAGCCAGTGTGTTAAGAACTCACCGCAACGCACCCTATTCGCCCGCATCGACAAGAGAAGCTGGTTCTGCAGTATTAGCATTTCCCCGACAATTTCATCCTCTGGGGCCGCATCTAGCAAGCCCCGATGGTGTGCAATGTCTAGCTTTTCCAGCTGCTTTGCCAAGGAATCATCCTCTGCCATGTCATGATCCACTTCACCAAGGTCTGCCCCCACTACAAGCCCCACGCATCTTGCTTTCATTGGATAGCCGGAATCCTGAGCTGCCTGCAACAAGGGAACATCATTGGCCGAAAAGGCATCGCCTGGAGGACACCCAGAGGAGCTTTTCGCTCGTTTCAGACATCCCACAGGAGCACTCTCAGCACCACAATTTTCACATTTGTGTAGAACACACACGTTGCAGCGCCCAGAAGGAATGCCAACCTGTCGGCTAGGGTGGAATATGCTCCTTGGGGGAACAACCGGGGGAGGAAGTGTCACTGAAAACTCCACCTCTCCGTTGCCCTCGAGAAGGGAATATTTTGGAGAGAACTCGCCTTCCACAGCTGCAGCATTTGCCTCCTCGACTGTCCTCTGTCCTCCACGAGATGCTACCTCACAATCTGCCTCACAAACTTCTGTTACAGGTGTTCCCAAAGGAGAATCCGTCCACGCAGGCCAGACGGGTGGCTTCAGAGACTCCAGCAATATGTGTGTGTACATGTGAATAACATGACCCTCTGGAATCCTCTGCACTCTGCACATCACACATGTACAACACTTCAATCGAGAGGAAGAGTGAAGGGAAGGAGCAAGACAGTGCCGAGACAGAGAGAGAGAGGTATGAGGGATTGTTTCTCCTGTATTGCTTGAGAAGAGCATTTGTCATTCATACAATTGACTGCAAATCTTCATCCAAGTACACATGTGACTGATTTGCGCATCACACAGCTCCTTCAATCTCATTTCAGGCAGAACAGCATTTCCATGGCAGGCACCCAGGTTCGTGCATCAGCATCATTGCTACTTGTTGATTCGCTCTTCCCTCTGTGGTCTTACATCATTTTCAACATATGTCAATTACTTCCTGTAGGGTGAAGCATCATTTGCTCAACATCAAACAATTACCATTCCTATTTCCGGGGCCTCCCTCGCTTTTCACATCGGACTTCAGAGAATCTTGTTGGTTAGTATTTTGTCAATTCATCCCTCGGCTAAGACAATCAGAAACTTCATAAGAAACCATTTGGGCAGCAGATGGTAGTGATCCTAACATGCGCTGCAGTTTTCTAGATTTAGGTTAAACCAGTAGTACCTTTGCCGATTCAGAAATGAGGGAAAACGGCAGTCCCCAAAGAATTTGGAGGCCATTGATAAATCTAATTGGCGGCGGTTATTTCGCTTCAGCCTCCTGACAGGTCGGAGGCCCGCTACCAAACCGACAAACGTACAAGTGGTTTAACCCAAAACAGACTCAGTGGAGCAAAAGCCTAGACGTGAGACACCAAGCGGGGAGAGACAAAGCAGATTCCAGCAGCAATAACGATTTGACTCATTTGAGCTCAATCTGACGGTGAGGAATGCAAAGTTACGCAGGATTCCACACAAGCCCACTTTCCAGTGCCAAAACTCAAGAAGGTCTGAACAAACATCCGGAGAACATATCCGGAGAGACATTTTAGAAACTTTTTTCTATAACCGATTTGTTTACTGCATTGCATTTGCCTAAGTGTGTAGAAATTTATAGAGGAAATAAGGGAAAAGAAAACGGAGCCATCTGCTCATCTTGTAGAGACCGGCTTATTTCCGTTTCCCGTTCTCCTGGCCGTCAAAGGGAAGGGCCCTCACACGGGTAAAAGGAAAAGCGAGCAGACTAACTAACACATGCTCCAGTATTTCCAGAATGGAGAGGCAGAACCTTAAACCACCGCTACCTCTGTCACTCTTGGGAAACATGGGAAAACTGGCTGTTTTCCCACTTATTCCGATGTTTTCCAGGGTTGGACGAGGCTCGGCAGTTGGGCCTTAAGGGCCCCTTCGAAGAACAAAAAGAAAAACAAAAGATCATGTCGGCGAAGGCCGTGCACCAAGTTGTACTCGCACCGAAACTCGCACGTTCGTATCTAACCGCTATAGTGGCCAGTTTCAGGTTTTCATGGTCTGTGATTTTTGCACGGTAACATTCCAGATGTCCGGACCGGGTTCCAGACAGTCCGGTGTCCAGTCCTTATGTCCGGATGGAGGCCACTGGGGCAAAAAACAAACAAAAAAAACAAAAACAGGGCGGCCCAGGACATTTATCAGGTCCTGGCCTCCCCTCAAAAAATAACATGGTGATTTTTCAGTGTCGTTTCACACCACCGGACAGGGCCTAGAGGTCGGGACACAAGACACTGCAGATTTTTGGGGGGGCCAGTTTCACACAGGCCCGAGCAATGTCAAAGCCGACGTTTCGACATGGCGCCTGCCGTTGCTGCCCGTTGAAGAGAGAGAGAGAGAGAGAGAGAGAGAGCACTGACAGTGCTGCCAGTCTGAAGACTGACGTTCTGAATTGAACTGCAAAGTTCGAACTTTTAAGTTATGTTTGAGGATATGAACTTGAAGTTCAAAGTTAATCACAGTTTTTTCGAAAAACAATTATCTGTTCCTTTAGTCTTGTGCCTGCTTTTCACTGTCTGAAACGTTGCATGTCTGCTAGTTAAACGTGCTTGTTGATTTGCTGCAAGATACGTGCTCTGCTGCCTGAACTATAAATTGCAAAGCGGGTAACTGCTAGTCCGGAAGACAGTCCGGAAGTGTCCGGTGTCCGGGTCCGGGGTTACCATGGTTTTTTTATTGGGGAATTTTCGAAATGCCCCTGAAGTTTATGTTTATTTGCGGCATACCCCTATGACGGCCGACTTACCTTGTCGCGCCCCTCTGACGATGAATGATGTTTCCAGAAAACCCCTGGCATCGTTTGGGCCTGAAACATGTTTCATATGCCCCTACCGGTACCGGTACCAAATTTCCAGTATGCCCCTACCGTCTGGCCGTTGAGAACCAACAGAACTTTCTCATATGCTGTTACCGGTACCGTCCATCTTTCCAGCAAGCCCTTGTCACCGTTGTTGACAGTCGCAGTCTTTCCCCTGGCCCCAGGAGAGGTGCTACCGGGACATCTCTCTCTCTCTCTCTCTCACACACACACACACACACACACACATGCAGACGCGCGCGTGTGCACGGGAGATGACGCCAAGAAGACGGCCATGGTGATGGTTTGGAGGTCTACAATCGAGGAGGAGGGGGGGGGGGGGGGGGGGTGACGAGGAGAAAGTTGGAGGGAGGAACAAAGGAAGAGGAGGGAAGAGGAGTAGGGAGGACAAGGACTATGACGATGAGGGACGATGAGGGACAAGGAAAGAAGATGGAGGCTGGAGGAAGAGGGAGGAGGGCAATGAGCATGGATGGAGGAAGGACATGGGCGATGTGCATGGACACACACGCGCACGCTCACCTTCGCATAGCAGGCGTATGCACTCCAACGAAGCTTTCCCGACGCGGCGAACTCGAAGACTGACTGCTGCACCATTTTTCCGTGGCCGCGCATGAAATACCTACCACTTCGAATTCGAATTCCTGCCGCCACTGCTGCAAGGGCACCACAGAAAGATGTGTGCCCTCGTGAGGGCATTTCCAGGATGGACCGACGAAACGCCACCAGCGGCCCAGTAAGGGCATATCGGAAAGTTACGCCCCATGCTGACAGGGGCCTGCGGAAAATTTCAGAGGGCCGAATGGCAAAACAGGGTAAGTTGGCCTTCACAGGGGCATGCCGCAAATATACGCAAACTTCAGGGGCATTTGGAAAATTTTCCCTTTTTATTTCGTTCTTTGTTTTGTTTTGGTGCCCCGCCAGGGAGGCACGGCGCAGTCCACGGGCTGCTGACACTTTGTGGAGGAGGGCATGCCCACATTATTACTTTGCAGAATGTATGAACCCACTTTCCCGCCCTAAGTTCAGTTTTGATTTGTTTTCCCCTCTTCCTTCTTTCATGGACCTGACACCCTTGCCGTAATGCCCTCACTGAGGGCATACTCACACAACTACTTTGGGCTAGGTATCTACCAGCTATCACGTCCAAAGGGGTGTTTGTTTTTTTTTGGTTTTTTTTGGCTGCGAGTTGGTCGTTTTTTCGAAGTATGGCCGTGGCTTTTTTTTCCCGGGAGTACCAGAGAAGAAACAAAACGGAACCCAGGTTCGGCGAAACTCAGTGCGCAGTGAAAATCAGGGTCTGGAAAAATAGGCTCAAAAAAGAAAAAAAAACGTATTCCGACCCTCTTCCAAATACAGATATCTGCTACCCGGATAAGAAACGAGCTCATGCGAGCGGTCTATTTTTTCTGCCTCCAGCCACCAGTCATCTTGATCTTCTAGGCTGAGCCCCAAGAAGAGAACGCCTGGGAGAAGTACTTGTGATTTAGACAACAACCCCTCCAGCGGAACAGACCGGAAAAACCTCCAACAGACCAGCAAGGCAAACATGCAAGCACCGTCATTAGACCAGCAAGGCAAACATGCAAGCTCCCCTGATCATAACGCACGTGTCCCAAAGGAATAAGGTAAAGGGTCCTTTCTACTCGTTCAAACCCCATATGCATTCTATTAGAGTTTGTCGCAGCAACTTGGTGACAGTATGGGAGATGGTTCATGGTAGAGTAGGCCCAGTTTTCCAGTGCTATCCTGAAAATTTCCCCATACAGTGCAGACCAGTGTTTCCTCCTGCACGCTACCAGTGGGGACCGCAGCTGAAAGTGGAGCATAAGAAGCTGCAACGAAACCCAGGGCCAAAACAACAATATGCAGCCAAGTGCAATGGGATCGCAATGCAAACCTGTGGTGGCACATGCAAACATCGACCCATGGGGTGAGCCTCCCATCAGGGTGGGGGTTCCCCTCACTGATGAACAGCAACCATTCAATGAAAAAGCATATGCGTTCTATTAGTTCACAAGAGATCTCATGAAAAAGCATATGCGTTCTTCTCAAGTGCAAAGCATATGCGCTCTACTCCAAGTGCCCCGTCATTTGAAAGAATAATCGATTTCTTGTGGATAAATTGGATAGACCGCATATTCTCGCTGTCCGGGGAAGACGGAGTGTCAGCAGCATTTTCACAAAGGCAGGCATAAGGTATGTGCCCGGAGAGAAGGACAGATGCAAGAATGATGTGGACTGTCAAAGCATCAGCAGGTGTCATTTTTGACTGCCGCTAAACCTACTCTACGCCAAAGCACTATCATGGCTTCCCACCCTCCACATTAAAAGGACACTCGATAAATACACTGACGACAAAGCATTCAATGTCCCTCTCCCTGACAGGGACACCTTGTGTGTGGCCTCTACTTATGCTGGAGCGTGTGGTCCAATTACTGAGGCATCGATAAGCAAGGTGTTTTTTGTTTTTTTTTTTTGAAAAAAACAGAACCATTTGGTTCTGGCTCCTACCATTCTGGGGAGCGACAGTCCGGTTCCTATTCCCCCCGCAAGTCAAATGTGGAGAACATGGATGACTCACGCACGCTCCTCCCCATTATGGCTGGGAGGTCCGAGAGGACGGCATTGATTACTTCCCTGAGGAAGGATGTACCACCCCTCACCTCTGCCTATTTTAGCCTGTGCTATTTGATCTGTCAGACTATTGCCCGTCTGTCTAGACCCAGTCCTGCTCCTCTCAGCTGTGATGCTGTCGGGTTGTTGTGTTATGCTAGAGCGGTCTGGAATGTCTGCGAACCTCTTGAAATCTCTGATGTCCTAGGCCCTATAAGCCTTATTCCTTTCTAACCTTTAAAACTACAACCCT